CCGTCGCGCCGAGCAGGAACCGCGATCGAGGAAGGATCGAGGAATCGCGCGTCTGGTTGCTGGTGGTTGCTGGTCGGGTCGCGGGTCTAGTTGCTGGTCGGATCGCGATGATCATTGATTTCTGTAAAGATAAACCCCCTCATAGATAGGCCAATGATTCATTGATTTCTGTGACAAGATTTTGCCTCATTTGTAAGTAGTGTTCCTCGTCTCCATAAATCACATGTGACATGGCTCGAAAACCACATTGCCCGTCTGGTTTTGGGTCAAACCAACCTTTAAGAAGAGGGCGGACGCTAAGTGGGATATAGCGGAGATAAGGACAAACATTTCTCTCATTGTGGACTTGCATATGCTGACTTTTCGAGACACCTCCTGTTGGTACAAAAAATAACTACTGTAAACGGCTACATACCAAGGAGTATGATTACACCAAAAAGATAAGAATTTTGCTAACCTGCAGGAGTCGTCTTGTGTGTCCTTCTCGTGTTCTCATTTGTTTTGCTCCTCTTTGCCGATCGTGTCCTCTCATGCTCAAACCAAGAAGGATCTCTAGTGTTCGACCTCTTTGGTGGTCGTCCCTTTGGAGCCTATGACTCTCTAGGCTCTAATAGGCCTGCAACTTGTGGACGAATATGAGGGAGTAGTAATTGAGATGCCTTCCGGACAGCAGCTGGTCCTCGCCTGTACACATCCTCCACCATGGCTGCAAAAATTCCACGCTCAGTGGCATAATGGTCCTCCCATTTTGCACCATCAGGAGGACTCTCATACACCAAAGATGACCAAAATCGATGTAAGTGGTGAGGGTGTAACTCCATGCCGGCATCACTAAGTGCATCCATCTTACATTTACATGGCAAACCATGTGTCTCATGTAGCCGACATCCACATCGCTGAACAATTTCTCTTGCTCGTTCTTTCATCAACAACTCAACTGCCCACAAGCTTACTTCCATATTCAAGTGACCATATGGCGGACCGTCAGCTAATTTAAATACCTATTTCAAAGAACGAACTTCTAAGTCAAAATCAAATTGAGTATACGGAAGAATATCAACACCATTGAAGAAAAAATGAAAATACCTTCAAACGCGAATCCTCCAAGTCCTTTCTTAGTTCAGTCACTTTTCCCTCAATGGATGTGTGATATATGAGAAAGAGTGTGTCGATCTTGTGGGTCGAACTGGCAAGCCATTTCTTCAAGGACGAATGAGCTGACTCTACCCTGTTTGTGCTCGTGTTACCAATATGGAAAACACGATTGGTGTAGCAATGAGCCCACCTTTGCGCACATGGTATCCACTCACCCCTCAAGTAGTTCATGAAGCGTGGGTTTTTACCCCAATCACTAGTTTGCAAGTCTACCCACCGTCGCTGGAACCCTCCCTGAGTGTTGGCATTCATGAGTGTCTGCCAAGGCCCTGCTACAAACGCCTCTGCAGATTCTCGACTTATCCCGAGAGACATCATCTTGGCTTCAATGTTCTTCTTCATGTGCCACACACATAGTAAATGAGCTGAAGATGGAAAGATCTCACGCACGGATACACCCAACCCGCCCTCCTTATCGGTGACGAACGCATCTGGTCTTCGACCACCAAGAACATTCTTCAATTGCGACAATACCCAAGCATATGTCTCATTTGTCTCATCTGAAACCAATGCGAACCCTATGTTGAAGTTCTTCTTCACCGGACTAACACCAATCAACTGAACCAGTGGTTGCTTATACTTGTTGGTCTTGTACGTCGAGTCTATCAAAATAACAAAATACCATGCGCTCAACATCTTAATAGACTTCGGATGGGAAAGGAAGAGTCTAGTAACACGACGGTCTTCATCAAAATCAACTCCAATGAAGTAGCCAAGACGGTCAGCTTCTATAAATGTCCACCGCATAGGGGAAAGACCACCCAATCTCTCATGCCTAATCTTTGCTGTCTCATTATAAACCTGATCCATGTTGTGATGAGCATCAAACTTCCTATTTATAAAACTTCTTATATCTTTCGCCTGAGTATGTGTTGCCTCCAACTCCTTAATTTCAATCTTTTCCTCATTTGAAAGAGCATTCCTTTGCTTGCTTCCTTCAGCATAAACTTCCAATTTGTGATTGTGAAATCCCTTTGGCTTCCCATATCTGTCCGTAACACCCAAAATTCTCCACTTACATTTGCCATCTACCAATGAACTCCGCACTACCACTCGGAACTGACAACCTTGCTTGCCTGATTTTGATATGCGTCTTGTCTTTGCCAAATCTCGGGTATATGATTTGCTCCTCTTACCATGGTTGCAATCCATATATATCCGCGGATAGTCTTCTCCATAATTTTTCTTGGTTGATTCCACAACCAAGAAAAACCTATTTCTTTGGGCAATCTCCTTTGCCGCCGCACAAGCTTCGACATGGGTATCATAAACAACATCGCTTATGAACAATGATGTGTAATCAAAATTGTCACCCTCATTCTCGCCAAAATCTCCCTACAATTAAATATGATAAAGATATATAAGGTTAAGAAAAGCAATAATTATGATACAATAATGGAACTATCAAACAACAAAGTACTTACTGAATTACTCATAATAATCTCTAAAGTAAATATCCTTAATCGAACTTGATTATCTTCGATTAGACGTCTTGATTTCTATTATGTTCTATAAAATTCGTAGGTCCCACACTCTCTATTTATAGAGGTTCCAAAAGCATGAAACTAACCTTGTAGAAATAGAAAAACAAATCCTACACTAACTAGGAAACATAATACTACTTTAACAAGGACTACTACTACTAATTAAGCTTCTAAATAACCAAATTTAATAATTGTAATGTACTTTTCCTTTGAGGAACTATTTTTTAAATTATTTTATTTTAGTTATTTTTTGGTTTTGTTAGTTGTTTGTCCAAATAGAGCAGATCCAAATGTCCAACCAGACCAGACCCAACCAATTTGTGCAATTTGACCCGACTGGGCGGTCCCTTCTTCCTCCTAGTATCGCTGACCAGCAGAGACTTTTTTTTTTTTTTTTAACGGAGAGATTTTTTCTCTCTTACGCGTTCTGGATCGGCGCAGCGGAAGCCGAAAGGTATTACAGAGACCAAAGGTGAGATTCCAACGAGCATTGGGAATCTGAAGAATTTAAGTTACCTCTTTCTGGCCAATTCTCATCTCACCGGTCCGATCCCCAATTCGATTTTCGAGCTGGAAGCTCTGGGGACGCTGGATCTATCAAGGAACAAGATCACAGGCGAGTTCCCTAAATCGATTGTCAAGCTACGAAGCCTTTTCAAAATCGAGCTTTTCGACAACCTGCTCACCGGAGAGATCCCTGAGGAGCTCGGAAACGTGACACATTTAAGAGAGCTGGACATCTCTGCCAACGAATTACACGGAGAGATTCCGGCGAGCCTCGGGAAACTGGAATTTACCGTTTTCCAGGCCTAACAGAGACCACCGCCGAAGAGCAAAAGAGGTACCCAACCGCAGCGGCGAAGGCGTTAGGTTTAGGGCGAAATAATTAGGGATTGAGAATTTTTTAGGGCGAAAAGGTCAAATTATTAAGTTAGGGCGGAAATTTTAAAAAATTTAGGGCTTTAATTAGTACCCCGGTTTTAACTTCTTTTTTTTTTTCAATTCAATATCCGGTTTTAAAATAATTATTATTAATTATTTATTTATTTTTATTATTCTACCACAAATAGTTAAAAAGTAAGATTACTGTTTCGGAGGCTATCAAAATTCAAGAAAATGAAAAATGCCATCAATCGTTTTCAATTGATTTTGGGCACTTATTCTTAATGGACTTTAGTTCAAAAAATGAAAGCTATAACGAGCACTCAAAACACATTCTCCGTAACGACTGATCGGAGCCTGCTGGAAAATATGGCAATCATGATGAAATTCCGCCGGCAATTCTACTGCAGATTCTTCTACTACACAATTCACGAATTACGCCGCGTGCTTCAACTGAGTAGACATTGATGCGGTGGTTCCTAATTTTCATGCCCACGATCGTAGAGAAGCATCCTACGCCGAGTAGAAGAACCGATGGCCGGCCACCAAAACTCGTGGCAAATCAACACGCCAATCTCCAATGGCCAGAAAAAGACGGCCAGAGATAAGATGGATGGAAGAAATGCAGCTCGGGGGAGCGAATGAACAATCATTCATCATCCCACAGGAACAAATCCCGCGCGAATAAAGAGATGGCTAGCAAAGACCCTCTGTTACGGTGCCAGATTCAGGCAAAATCAGTTTCACGAAACGAAAATAGAGCCGATGGTGACATCGTAAGAGGGTAAATGTCATGAAAACTGTAACCGTTTCCTGGTGAAATGGAACAATTTTAAAGCTCACAAGTTAATTCGTCCGCACTTTTAAGCGTCGAGACGGGGAGGAGTTAGAGTGCTAACCCGTACTAATCATTGATATCATCGTTCATTTGTTTTAAGTAAATCTAATGGTGGAGATGATTGAGGGGTATATTTGGTATTTTATGAAATTTAATTATTTAATTAATTTTTTGAATTTTTTCTTCTCTCTTACGAAGAATTTTTTTAACGCGAAAAGTACTGCTAGAGCCTTACTGTAGTGTTTTTTGTATAAGCATCGTAGTTATTTTAATCCCGTTAGTAGTGTTTTATTGATTCTTAAGTAGTAATTTTGGTGGCTTGTAGTAGTATTTTTTATATAAGTACACTAGATCTAATTTAATTTGTAGTGATTTACCAATAATTAAGTAGTAATGGATGCCAAATTTTAGTAAAAATCACTACTAGAAATAATAAATTACTATTACAAATGAAAAACTACTACTACTTATAAACAAAACACTACTAATATTAACAAAAATCAATAATTACAATAAGAATCACTACTTCAAAATAACTACTACATTCTAATATATCCAACTACCGAATCACTACTAATGAACGCAGTTACACTGATATTTACAACCATATACACTATTACATCAAATATTCACAACTAATAAACCCTACGATAGATCAATGGCTCTTTGATAATAGATTCGGCAAAATCTCAACACCACACCCACCAAAACGTCACAAAGTCGCAGCTTTCTGCATGTTGCTTGCTTGCATCAATATACCTTAGGTTCCTTTCTTAATAGAGGGTTTTGACCATCAAATCAGACACACCTCTTTCTCACAATTCGCTCAGTCACTGTTTGCGACTATCCGATTTCTCCATGGCCTTGGACGCAGAACTGGCAGCGGAGCACAATATTTGGGCGATGGTGGACCTGATTCAGGAAGGGATGAGGCAGCATGAGAGAATATCGTTGATTTTTCCCGATTCGATGGCGTCGAATGCGCATACTGATGGCGGAGCACCAGATCTCGGCAACGGTGACCTAAAAAAACCATCACCGCCAACATCTCTTCGGCCACAGACGGCGACAAGAACACCCGCTCCACCACCATCAGCGCCTCCTCCGTTGCAAACCTTTTTGTAGGTTTTGAGTTTTGACGAGAGATCGGAAGGAAACCGTAAAAGTGAGAAAGAGGGGGATCGAATCTATATGCATTTCTCACCATCAGTCAATTCTCGTGGAAATTTTGGAAGCAACTCCAATGCATACTTCCATAGCTTTATAGCCTTTTGCTTGCAGCTTATCCAAATTCATTCAATGTGTGCAAAGTGAAACAGAACTTCACAACTGAATCAGAATTAGCAATAACAGCAACACACTAAAAGCCCAAAACTGCATTCATCAATCAATTACTCGTTCTTTACTTTTAAATCCCAAGTAACCTAAAGGTCCTAAATTCGAATCTTTAAACAACAAAAGTAAACCTATATCACCATTATTAAAAAAAAATACAGAAATAGTATAGATTAAGCATAAGAAATGACTATGTTAATAACAAAACCCAGAGGAAAACAGAGAATAGTCATTATGAATCGAGTAGAAGAGACATCACTTTGTCAAGCTTATTAAACACCACAATAACAAGATCCAAACTGTCTTTCCTGCTGCGGTAATCATTATCAAATCAAGAACATAAGGGGAAAAACTAACATAAGATGGTGATGAGGTTTTGCTAAGAGAGATAAGAGCACAGTGGCTCAAACAATCATAAATTGAACTCGAGGAAGCTAAAATCGCTAGTTCAATCACAAACTCAGGTATGATGTTTTCAGGAATTCGCACTTCCACTTTTGCAATTACTTCCAGATCCACATAATGAATGTATTGTGCACGCTATGTGTCTTGGCATTTCGTTGCTCATTCTCCTCTTCTCTATCGTTCGTACTGAAGAATATTGAGAGATTAACTTAAACCACCCAGACTTATGGTAGAAAAATACAACATTAACCACTACTTAAACTCCTAAATAGTGTGTTAGTGAGAATGATTATGACAACACATACACCAAGCTACAAATCAATAAGACTAGAACAAACTCAGTTACTTTTGAAACGAAAGAATGGCAAAATTTTAGTAAAACAACGAAATTATGACCATGTTTTTGCACACTGATCTGAGAGGTCAAGTTTAACTAATGGAATGTGGACAACATAAAACAAAGTTATATAAGCAAATTCATAGAGATTAAAGCCAAATCTGGAAGTTAAGAAGGAGCCCTGGATAATTGCTGCCAACAGAGAAGAGGAACTCATGTCCTCAAAATGAGGGGTTGAATCAACATACAGAAAGACCTTATCGGGCTTGAATTGACTCCCTGAGACATGAAAAGTCATTCCTGTGATAATACCTTCAAATCTTTGTTCTTCGTCTTATGGGAAGGATTAAGGTGTCTCTTCCAATTGAGGATGCAGGTGACACAAAATTCTTCTAGATTAATCAAAAAGATCATTCTAGATTTTAAGGGCAAGAATACAAGTACCTTGACAATTTTTAGGTGAACTCGCAACTCCATCCACTTCTTAAAGACCAAATCCTGCCATTGATTGATGTATCTCTTCCAGAGTCTTATTATCTCTGTCTTCCATTGATATTGAGTGGTGACTTTCTGTCTTGAAACTTAGTACCTCAGCCTCCTCTAGTTGGAGATTTTCCTCATCGCTTTGGTTGGACGCCTACAAAAAGCATCAGTCAATCTATAAAAGTCAATCCCCAGCAATTTTCAGTGGGAGCGATCTTCTTTTGTCATAGCTTGACAATCAAGATGATCACTTGGTTTGTCTTTGTTTTTTTCTAAACACGAGTTTCAATAGTTAATAAAAGAGTTGGACAGAAACATGGTAGTCATACTGATAAAATTACATATATTCGATTAACATGCAAAAGAATACGAGTAGATTCAAAGAAGAAAATACGTCCGTGGTTGTAGAAATACTGAACCATAGATGAAAATAAGAGATTGAAAATCAATCGTAAACTCATAATGTAATGCTAATCCAAATAGCATACGGATTTATTACGTAATTTATTAACAGAGTGTAAGAGGATGACCATGTGATAGCTATTATAAGAGGCTAAGTCATGCAATGAATAAGACAATTCATAACAGAATTGAGAAGCTATACTAAATAAATAGTTAATACCATTGCCTTGGAGCTGTTCAAATCAGGAGAATGAGAAATCCCACAGTTAAAATAGGATTCTCAAGTCAACTTGCGTAAGCTTCATCATCTCAGGCTAGAGCTAAAGATTCAAATGTACTTGATGACAACACTTGATCCGGCAATTTAATAAATCAACAACTAAAACTCTCCAGCAACTGCTTAGGAGCTACAGAAAAAGCACATAAGAAAGAATTTGTTTACCCTTGTAGGAGCTGTCTTTCTTCTGCAATCTCTTCAAAACGATATTGTATTGGTACCCTTGGGCCCAATCAGATTGTTGATTATGAGCTTTTGAGGAGCCCAATCGATATCCAGATGCCCGCTGCAGCTAGGCCTTCAGAGGAACCAAATCGACAGCATGAATTTGCATTAGATGGAGGGAGTATCTTTAGGAGTCAGAGGCTAGCTATTGTGAAGTCAGTGAATCGCAAAAGAAGAGCAGTCATGCACAGGCGTGGGGCTCCAAAGGTGAGTTTGGGGACTCCTCCGGCTCTTGCCCAGCCGCCAGTCACATCATTGGAGGGGAAGTGCGGAAAAGAGAAGGAAATGACGGAGAAAGGAAGCAATCTCAAACGGAAAAAGCAAGGTGCACAGGGGCTAATAATAATTATTATTCAACATCTTCAAAAGTTTGAAATCCATGGCAGCAAAACCAAAAGTATACAGTAATATACGTGATCAGAAAAATAAAACCAAAAGTATGCACACGAAGTGAGTAAACAGATTAGCCATCTGGATTGTAAAAGCTAATGGGAAGGTAAGAACTAAATACCATAGCAAATTCTTTGTCAAGCAAGTGAGCGGTTCTTACAAAGTTCCACAAGAAACAAAAGAATAAGCCATGAGCTGCTCATTCCCAATGTTGAACCCTTCGGCAATGAAACCCCAATACGCCTTTGGTCTGGCAACTTCTTATCCGGAGTTCCTTTTCTCATGTGCTCTGTGCTTTTCATGGATCACCATGAAATAATCCATGGAAACTCACAGCAATTTTTCTCATATTATGTTAAAGCAATTGTCAAACCAAAATAGAACAGAATACAGAGAGACGGGTGGCTAGGTAGGACTACTGCCATCAGCAGCTCCTGCAAACCCCAAAATGAACCGTGAAGCTAGTCCCTTGCCATATCTAGCAGCCGACTTCGCCAAATACTTCACTCTCATCCTTTTCTCCATGTCCAGGATCTGTAACCCATCCAGCTCCTCGAGTCCATTCACCTTGGTCAATTTTGTGCATCCCTCAATATCAAGTTGCTTCAATTTCTTAAGACCAGACAGATTTCCCAACTCCTTTATTGACGAGCAACCACACATCCGCAGCGATGTTAACGATGCCAATCCCTCCACCCCCTTGACCTCAGTCAATGCTATGCAAGAGTTAAGGTCCAATGTCTCCAAACTCTTGAGGCCATATAAGTTTAGCAGCCTCGTAATGGACCTACAATTAGGCATCAGTAGCTGTTGCAATGAGTCCAATCCTTCTATACCCGTGGGGGGATCGATCAAGCTTTCGCAAAATGTGAGGTCTAATGTCTTGAGATTGCTCAGCCCAGACACATCAGGTAGATGTCGAATCGAAGTGCAACCCTCCAAACTCAGTAATTCTAGCGACACCAACCTCTCCAACCCGGTTAACTCAGTCAAGTGGGGGGAGTATAAAATGCTCAATCGTTTCAGATTAATAAGACCAGATAGGTCAGGAGATGGTTTCCCGCCAAATGATTGTTGGTTAAGAGTCAAATCCTCCAATCCTCCCAGAAGTTGAAGTAGTCCATCTAAGTTTGCCAACCTGTAACAGCTGTTAATTGTCAGACGAGATAAAGATTCCCCAATCTCACCAATGCCTTGGATTTGTACGAGAATCGGACACTGGCAAACCTCCAAATCCTTCAACTTCATCAAATTTGCCAAACTCGGCAGCCTCTGCAGCACAGTGCAGCTCCCCACGGACAAGGTCGTGAGGAGGAGCAGGTTCTCAAGTCCATTGAGATTCTTCAAATTTGGGAAATTGGATATCTCCATAGTTTTCAATGCCCTCAGCTCTCCAAGGCCCCGAATCTCGACCACCCCGATATGCATGAGCGTGAGTTGGGTCAGGTTGCGCAGATTAGCGATGCTCGGGAGTTCACTCAAGGGCCCAGAATACTTCTCATAAATCAGATTCAATTCGTCGAAGCTGATCACAGCAAATATGTGTCTAGGAATCGAAGGAATACTACCACTAAGGTAGCTTAGGGACTCCAACGACGTGAGCTCTAGCAGGTTTGGAACCCCATTAGAAGATGAGATGGTTAACCTCTTCAAACTCCTCGGTAGTCTGGGTATCTCAATCTGGTGTCCCCGGTATCGTGACTCTAACAACAGGATTTTGAGAGAGGATATCTTATCCATCCCAGCAGGCAATTCTGTCATAAGGGTAAACCTCAAGTCCATCTCCTCCAGTCGTTGAAGCTTTCCCATGTCATTACCCCTAATGATTAACCCTGTTATTTTGGTCCAACGGAGCCTCAACGTTTTCAGATTCTTGAAATTGCCAATGTGCAGTTGTCCTTCCATTCTGCCACTTTCCTCGAAGTTTATCAACTCTAGACTTGCGCATGGGGACAAGTCAGGAGCTCTTGTCAGCTGAGAGCACCTGGGTAAATTTACAGCTTTCAGCTTTGCTGCTGCCTGTGGTTCATAATACAACCATTACAAATTCCATCATCTTCTTATAAATGTGCCATGATATGCAGAATTATTTATTATACGCCGGTAATTAATCCATAAGGGCTGAACCGATCATATATATATATATATGGGAAAAACAAAACAGGAAATAGATTTCACCTTTATTCGGTTCCAACCCTTCCAGTTATCTTTCACATCACATTCCTCCAAATCAAGAACTGTCAATTTCTTTGTGTAAATATCAGTTGGGATTGATTCACAATGTAACAGTCGAAGGCAACATAGATTTGGAAGAACCTGGCTGAAATCTCCTATCACACTTCCATATCCCACCTCCAGATATCTTAAACCTGATAAGTTCTTAAAGTCCTTGCTTTTAAGCAGCTTTTCATGAACATCCCTAGAATTCATATCCAGCCTAAGAACTTCCACTTGTTCGCTTCCCTGAAAACAAAACATGAAAAGAAATTAGTGACCAACCTTTTCTCGTTAATATGCTAACCAAATATCACCTAACTGTGAGAAAAGTATTTACCCTTCCATTTCTAAACATGTTCAGGGCATCATCGATAGACCATATCCTGCTACGGTTGTATGGATGATGAATATCTTCCTCTTTAACAATGGCTCTCCCAAGATCTTTGATGTGATCGTGCATCCAAAAATGATTTCCACCATCAAGTTTTATCAAGGATCTGTGGATAAGTGTGTCGATCCCGCTTTCTGGATAAAAATCACAACCACTCCACATGTAATACGGTAAATCTATATGGCTGCCGATAAAAAAACAAGCAATGTCAAGGAAGATTTGCTTTTCATTGTGCGTCAACTCGTTGTAGCTAATCTTCAATCTCTCCTGCACCTTATTCTCAGTAGTAGAAGGAATCCCTTGTAACTCCATCAACTTTTCTTCCCAAAATTTCCTCTCTCTACGAAACAATAGTGAGCCTATCACCTTGAGAGCTAATGGAAGTCCAGCAGCAACTTTTACGAATTCCTCAGATATAGATGCATCTTTCTCTGGAGGATTGTCCATCCCAAAAGCATGTTTGCTAAAAAGTTGCAGGGAAAGAGGATGACTCATTTCTTCTGGTTCATATAATTTACATTCTGGAAAAAAATCTAAAGCTCTTTTATATCTTGTTGTAAACATAAATCTACTATCTAACGAAAAATCACCTAACTTTCCTAGAATCTTATCAAATTCAAACTTGTCATCTATATCATCAATAACAACAAGCACCTTATGCTTGCAAACCCTTTCCTTTATCATGTTGATTCCTTCACTAACATTGCTGACTTGATAATTATCCTTCTTCAAAATGCAAGAGATGAGCTTATTTTGCAAACATAGAGCTCCTTCACTCTTTGTCAACGTTTCCCGTACATTGTCCAAGAAACAACAACGATCAAATTGAGTGTAAATCTTGTTATAGACAGCTTTGGACAGTGTAGTTTTACCTAGACCACCCATGCCATAAATGCCAATGACTTTCCCTTCGGAGGAGGGCAAATTCAATAATGTCACCACTCCTTCTACACGACTATCGATTCCCACCAACTCATCAGTCACTAATGTGTAAATGCTCTTTAAATGCAGCTCAACTTCAGAAAGGATTTGCTCTATTAGAGCTCCCTGACTGCAGCATCAATGGTAAAGGTTGTCAAGAAACACTATTAAGCAAGCAAATATAGTGATCTAACCGTACGTACAATTATAATTAATTAGGAACAGTGTAATTGTTGAACTAGAAGGTGCTTTCTGCTATTTACCCTCGTGGATTACAATATCTAAGGGGACGAGTGGCGTTGTACATTATAACACAGAAACCCTTTGATCCGGGGAACGTAAACACACTTGATGAACCACATAAGTTTATATGTTGAGTGTAATAGCTTCTTTGTGTTTATTCAGAGAAATACCAAGATGTAAACCTAACAGATTGAGCAATGCATTCTGTCCAAAAGTAAATAACACCAAATTTAAGCATGTGGGGGGATGTTACCTGTCGGATTCAGTGACATGCCATCCTTTCATTTGCCCAATCTCTTGAAGTGCTTCCTTCCATTTTTCCACAGTTTCAGGACTATGTTTCTGGGTGTGCTGTTGAAAGGCTTCTTGATAAGGACCAAGTTGATGCCTCACATCTCTAGGGTCTACAAAGTAGAAAATGGGGAGGATGAGGTGTCCCTTGTTTTGATTCCAGCATTCCACCATCTGAGCCAATTCTTGAAGGCACCATTTGCTGGAAGCATACTGTTTGGTTAAGATAGGGATGTAAATCTTGGACTCCGGGATGGCACGGATTAGGGAAGGTGCAATCCCGTCTCCCTTCCGAAGCTCTTCCTCGTCCCTAAACGTGCGAATTTTGGCACGCGACAGGGAGGTGTAGAGATGATCGGCAAACGTATTGCGAACGTCGGGGCCCCTAAAGCTCAAGAAAACCTCGTACTCCCCGGCTGGAAGACCAGACGGCGGCGCGGAAGAAGCGAGGACGGATTCCATTTCTCGCGGCCGACGGATGGATGATTCGAAGTTACTAAGCACCGAAGGGTAAATCACGAATCAAAAACCTGAAAGGCCGCCGCAATTGAAATTAAGCAGCCGTTGCAACGAAGCTAAGAGAACTGAATCTTTGAAAGACAGAAAGATACAGGTACCTGCAGTTGGAGCAGTGTGGCTGCTTGGAGGATGATGATGTATAATTTCGATTGTGATCTCAGCTTGCGAGCTATTCTTTCCTTTTGAAGAGTGTGGCTGCTTGGAGTTTGGGATGATTCAAGATATAGAATTGAACGGAAGGAAAGAAAGGGGCGAGAAGCTGCAGCGATCAACTTGGACTAGTTGCTAAGCTGACGAAGGAGTCCACGGTAATGCTGGAACAAGGATACCGTCTCCGGATTTAGCTTCTCGAAGACTGGAACTAGTACAGGGTGAACAAAGTGACCCGGAACCCGACCCACCCGTGCCACCCAACCCGAAACCCGAGCAAAACTAAAATCCAATTGGTGGATGAGGGTCCTGGAATGATGACCCAGCGACTGTATGGGTTGGTTCCGGGTTTAGGGTTCTAAAACCCGAACCAACCCAATATATAAGCCACTGTTGGCCGTTGGGACGATTGCGGCGTGCAGGAACGGCAGAGCTTCATCTAGTGGAATCTCAAACGTTGGGCTTATTTGTTCTTTGGAAAACAAAACAATGAAAGGAGATGGGATGGCGAATTGGGTGGAGATTGAATTGGGAATGATATGGAACGGCGACCACCGCAATCGAAACTAGGGGTGTTCAAACGGATTGGTTATCTTGGTAACCATATTAATCGGTAGCATTCGGTTAATATGGTTTTGTTAATTTGGATAATTGCTTTGGTTTGGTTAAACAATTTAGCTTATTTGGTTAAGGTGGTTTGGTTTGGTTTCAATACATAATTATTTATGCTTCCATGCAACTAACCAAACCAAACTTTCGTGATTCTCTATTATATTTCCATGTGCACAACAAACCAAAACATTATGTGTCAAAAACTAAATGGGTCTGCCTATTTACTAAACCAATACATTTTCATTTTGGACAGCTACTAGTATTTTGGATTACGTACAATATCATAACAACCACCTCAAACTATGTATAGTTTAAGTGTTTTGTTAGAGAGCTTGAACCTCCTAATGAGTGGTATTCATGGTTGTCAAACCGGTTTCATCCCGGCCGGTTCAACCGATACCGGTCAGCAAACCGGCTTGAAAGGGGGCCGGTATTTAACTGTGGTCAAATCCGGTCAATGCCGGTCAAATCCGGAAATTCCGGCCGGTTAGACCAGAAACCGGAATTTAATATTACACACGTTATATCCAAAAATAAACATCCTCCATAGGATTTGAACAAGTACCTCATGTTCATTTTAGTTTAACTTACAAACCAGTAGGCTACAAGCAATTTTGTTGTCTATATTAACCTTATATGTTATATATCTAATACTAAATTTTACACAAATCATTATAAACATTAATAAAATTTTATTTTTAAGCATCTAATTGTTTAGTATTAGTTATCAATTCTTAGCTATAAATTATTTTGTGTGAAATAATTTTTCTAATTGCTTTTTCATGACTAATTTATTTGGAATTGAGGATTTCCATTTTCCTCATGTATTTTATTAAAACCGGCACAACCGGCATGAATACTGGTTGTACCACGGTCAGACCATTCCACTTACAAAACCGACACACCGGCATAAACCGGTTTGACAACCTTGGTGGTATTTGTATGTATTTATCTTAAGGGGTTTGTTGTAGGCTAACTAAATTAGGTGCAGAGATGATGAATGATGTATTAACTCGAATGATGATGATAATCATGGATGGTTAGTCTTATTAGTATTGCTTATATATAATGACAGTTTATGATAGTAACAACATATGGTTATGTTTTATTCATTAACATGATAATTGTTTTCATGTAATGTTATGTTATTTGGTTAATTCGATTATCCGATTAACCAAACCAATTAAATTTTGGTTTGGTTAATTTGTCTTTCGTGTTAATTTGGACGGTTTGATTAAGACATTTTATTCCATGGTTAATAAAATTTAGCCTTAATTGATTTGGTTATTACCATGGTAATCATTTGAACACCGCTCATCGAAACTAGGCAAGGAGCAGTGGTGATTCGGAAGTTGGCGTACCAGTGGGGTGAAGCTTTACCTATTCTTTTTTGGTTTGGGAAGAACTTTTTACTTTTATATATTTTTCCTTCGTGGGGAGTGTGATAGAAGTAGACACGGTAGACAGCAGTAGAAAGAGATTAATTTCTAGGCAACATACACTTTTATAGCCAAAATTTTGACGGCTTGATCAAATATAGTCACTTTTGGCGAAATACCAAAAATAGTCACATCCGTCCAATTCTTTGACGGTGTGAAATAACGTGCTGACTAGACTAACAGAAAAGCTGATGTTTCAATCTTTTAGTCCATAAAAATTATGAGGTGGAAGTAACTGAAAAGATAAAAAAATAAAAAATTATTTTTCTTTAATTTCTTTCTTCCCTCTCGATTCTTTCCCCTTCCCTTCCCCCAATAGGCGCTCATCTTCATCACGTTCTCCCTCTCTTCCCACCGAAAATCTCCCTCGCCGCGACTACCCCTCCACGGCGACGCATCTTTCCTCGCTAGGCTTTAACTAGGGCGAGGCTTTGACTAGGGAAGCAAAGAAAGCTCTGGGGCGAAATGAATTTAAGGTCGACACTTTTGAATCGAATTTTCACTCGTCAAAGATCGATTTTTGTTTTGATTTTGAAGCCTTCTCTTTCGACCACTATCCCTCCTGCAGGATGCAGCTTTGATTCTTACTCGACGCCGCCGCTCACGTTTCTTCCATCATCGCCTGGGTTTGGGGTCGGTGGATAGCAGCGGATTTGGGAGCTGCAATTTGGGTGGTGGCGGATTTGGGTGTGGCAGTAATTTTCCTCCGCCGCTTGGCATCGTCGTCGTTTGTAGCACTACCCCAGATCGAGATCCACAAAAGAAATTGAGCATGGGCCAATTTGCTTCATTCTCACTTAATTGGGGAAAAAAGAGGACATGTGTGATGGAAGATGCGAGCCTCAGCGGTGGAAGAGGAGGTGGAGATGGGTTTTTGAGTGGTGTTGAATCAGGGGGGACTAGGGTGGTGGAGAGGAAGCAACAGCCACTGCCATTCCACAAATCGGGCAGAGGGCACTAGGAAGAATACAAATCGATTGGGAGAAAGCGTCGACTACTCTCACAGGAAGCGACGGATTGATTTGAGAACGAAAATGAAGGTTCTCGACGGGTTTTTTGGATTTTTGTCTCTAGATTTCTTGATTTTTGGGTTTTGGTTTATGGATTTCTGGACTGCTATTGAAGAGACGAAGATCACCTGCTACTCCGTCCCCTCCGACATCATCAATTTCTTTCACTGGCAGTTAAACGAGTTTCATCTTAATACAGTGTCGGCGACAGGTGAGTTGAGAGAGATTTAGATGGAAATGGGATGGCGGAGGTTGCGATGAAATTGGGAATCTTCTTTTCTTTTACACAGTGACGAGTTTGTGAGAAAAACATATTTTGTTTTTTTTTAATTTATTTTAATTAAAAAATTGACGCGGCATCCACCTGTTATCGAAGGCTGAGTTGTCGATGACGTGTCTAGTGAGTTGGCAGCACAGTAAGCATACTGTTAAAATAACTAACGGCGTCACCGACGGTGTTAAAGTTTGTAACGGAACTGGCTATATTTGTCATCAAACTTTCAAAATTATGGCTATAAGTGGTATTTCTCCAAATTTTGCTATTATTGTCACAAACGCGAAAGTTTGGGCTATACAAGTGTATTTTGCCTAATTTCTATTGGGACAGGTGTAATAAATTAGTTTGGGATTCTTTTGATTGGAAAAGTTGAATTGTTTGGCTTGGCTGCGAAATATGGGGTTTAGGGTTAGTTGGAAATTTTGGTTTGAAATTTTAATTTACTGGGTTGGGTTTTGAATGGGTTTTGAACCGACCCAAACCGTCGGGTTTTGATTTTATTAGGTGGGTTTGGATTTCAAGATGTGTAAACCATGGTGTATTGGTCAGGTGACTAAACTGGTTGAACCCAACCCACTCGACCCATGTCCACCCCTAACTAGCAGTATCAATTTTGTACTTTATTTTTGCCACCAAAACAAAACAAAATTTTAGCTGAGAGTTTCAGTTTGGTCTTAAAATGAGTCTCTTCGGCTGAACTTTACCTAATTACCTTACCGATTCGTGAGCTTAAGAGTACTTATTTTTCAACAATTATATTTTGAGAGCGTCGAAAAAAATGTATGTATTATGTTACTTTTTTTTACTGAAATCTGTAATCAACTTTATTGATCAGATGAAACGGTTACATTATCTAGCTGAAGTTGATCGATAATACAACTCGGTGGAGTGTCAATCCATACTATTCTTTCATTCCAACTTGTAACAACATGTGCCATCTTATGTGCCACTGTATTAGCTTCTCTATTGGTATGCTGCTACCTGCCTACTCCTGTTCTTCGGATCAATAGTTGAATGCTTCTACATAGAACCCCCATCTCATTCTGTATTACTTCTGCATCTGCTATCTTATGGATTAGTGAAAGACTGTGGGATTCCAATATGACGTTTGGCAACTGGAATTGGATCTCTAGCTGTAACCTGAGCTAAGCTGCCATGGCCTCGGCTTCCTCCACCTCCCACTTTCCTGGAACCCTTTTTACAACTGCTATGATAAACTTTCTGTTGGAATCCCTAATTACCACACCCAACCCTGCTCCATCTCCGTCCCATAACCCCGCATCCATGCAAACTGAGGTACTTCTCGGAGGAGTTTTTTCCTATCTCTTTCGTACATAAACATGGTTTGATTCACACTTCCTTTGCTGGTTTTGCTTGTAGTCCTCAAGTAAAAGCTTTGCACGATCAGGTATTTCCTCCTCTAGTAGTTTAGCTCCATTAAACAAATGATTGTTCCTTTCCTTCTAGAGATACCACGATAAACCGCACTAGCCTTCCACTTCATCCTCCTCTCTTTGCTCCAACACTTTGGCCACCCATTCGAGGAACGAATCGGCTCCTTTAGATTCAAAAATTTCAACTATTGTCGTCCTCCTCCTGATCCGAGATATCCATTCACATTCAAAAAAAAAAGTGTACTTTTGTCTCGCTTTTGTTGCAGAATGGACAACTATCACCCTAGCGAGGATTCCGATTATTTAACTTCACTCACGTCGGCAGTATCTCTCGTGCAAACCTCCACATAAACTGTCTAGCCTTCATAGGGACTCCCAAGCCCCATAATTTCTTCCACATCATTGATGTTTCCTTCGCTTCCACCCGCTGGTTTGCGTTAAACTCATCGAGCCAAGTGTTGTACCCCACCTTCACTGTACAGTTTCCTGTCTTGCTATTAAGCCAAACTAGAGTACCAACTTCCTCTTGACTTCTAAGTGGGATTTGACATATGGCTTGGGCCACTTCATGGGAAGCTTCGATCACTGTCTCATCCCAAGTATTTGTTTCCAAATCAATTAGTTCACAAACTCACGCGTCCACAGCTAAGACCATGGGAGCCGAAGAAATCAACTGATGATCAAGCCCGTGAACCCAGCGGTCACCCCAGATTATGACTTCCATCCCATTATCAATCTTCCACCGTAATCCCTAGTTCAACATCTCATGTGCACTAAGGAGGCTTCGCCACACAAAACTCGGTCTATACCCCAACGTGGCATCCAAAATCAACATCTGTTTGTGGTATTTAGCTTTTGGTATGCGAGCTATGAGAAAGTTTGGCCTCAGGAGTAAATTCCAGAGTTGTTTGGCCAGGAAAACATCATTGAAACTGTTAGGAAATTTTATTTCCTAATCATAATTATGGGCCACATATTTGCTTATAACAATTATATTTGCTATTTGGTTATTGGGTAATTAAGTGATCTTGACTCGTCCCGAATATCACAATAATTTATCACCTAAGGCCCAAGTATAGACCTTAGATGGGTGCAATATAGGGAAAGTATGTTTAAATATCAACTCGAGTCGACCCGTGTACCCCTACTTCCGTTGTTTTAAGCATTATCTAGCAAATTGGTTTTTGGTTGAAAACTATGAGATTTAAATCAAAACAAAAGCAAAGGTAACTGGTTTGAAAGCTGTAGACGAGAAGGATCACTCGGGTGTCGCTTCCCCCTAACTACTACCATGTCATGTGGACTCGAATGGGACGTTATAGGCAAGGCAATCATGAACCCCTATGAGGTGCAACTATGGTCGAAGATCACACTCTCAATTGCCAAACCAAGGGATACATTATAGGCTACAAGAGTAGCCCTCTTGGTTAAGGCAATTAAGGGTTGACTTACCTTCTCCCTCAAACCGATGGTTGGATGGCTTAATCATGATTAACCTAGTTGCTTAATTCAAGATAGAGGTTTGCCCTACATTTACAACACCCAAATGAAAAAGAGTACTACTCCATGCTATAAAGGGGAAGAACACAAGAGGAAGAGGTAGAAACCATCTTGGAGATGCCTCCAATCTCCTCTAAGCTTGCGTTGAACTTCTCTTGGGGAGATTCTTCCCAATTCACCAATTGGAGCAAAGCCTAGCCTTCCTTCTTCCTTGGTTCGTCCTTTATCTCTCTAAAATATGAAGAAGAAGACACTTTCTCACACTTGGCTCTCCCTCTCTCTTCCTTTCAGTTCACATTATATACCAGGATGGGGCTCAATTCACAGCCTCAGTTCACGGCCCTGAACTCATCAATGCGTCCATGAACACAGAGCGGGATGTCGAAACGCACCGCTTTGCAATCAGGAGTTCACGGTTTGGCCTCAACCTTCACGATCTTGTTGACAGTGAACTCGTCTCGCGTCAGTAACTGAAGGTTTCTCCCTGTACGCATCGCAGTTCACGATTTTGGGCTTCAGTTCACGGCCATAGTGGACCGTGAACTCCCATGCTAACTCGTGAACTCCGCCTGGATCACCCTCTTTTCCCGGTCTTCGCCTTTTTTCATCCAACTTTCGATTGCGGGCTGGTTTCACCTATTGGATCCTGGAACACACTAAAACGCACAAAACCTAGCGTAAAACCACCCTTTTAGGAGTTCAAATGCTACAAACTTCCAAGGGAGTCGGGTATAAAATGTGTGCAATTAGGCCCAAATCACCCCCCCCCCCCCCCACACTTAGACGTTTGCTTGTCCCCAAGCAAACCATTTCACACGAGGTAAAAACTCAACCTATCAAAATGCTTTGGGGACAATTCAAAGGGAACAAAGTGGCGAATCTCAAATGGCTATTGACAATTAACACAAGGACCGTTGCAAGCAATACCGACATCCACCACATACGACATTTGAGGCTACTAAAAACGGACAAATGAAAAATTCTCACCTTGTTCATGAATCAATGCAAGTTTCAACAAGATCACTTACCAACCACAACTAACCATGCATAGAGTTCAAGTCCAAGGAACAAACGGATGGGCAACAAAGGTCCTCACCGGGGTATGATATGACATGCAAAACAAGAATGAATCGCTCACTCTCTTGACCAGTGGGGTCTGGACCTTTTGGTGCAAAAAATGTGCACAATCATCAACTCTCGGCCCTATCGTCTCAACACCATGGCGACAACCTCTAAATGCTAGAGTTCACGGAATGGTTGTCATCACTAACTTGTGCGGAGGTCTTAGACACGGGTTTAAATGACTGGCGATTTTCTTGGACATGGGGAAAAGGCTTTTTGGGTGGTGGAAAACACATCATGAGGTCCTACATCTTCACCGTAAAACCGAAGGTTCTATGGTTTCGACTAAGAACCTTCTTTACAAACAACGACCACTAGCATCGGCCAAAAACTTTGCTTCTCCGTTCCAACTATCACCCATCATGAACTTCTCTTAAGCACTCTTCCTCGATCCACTCTTGCTATAACACTTTGATTTGGTAGTGAATGAGTTCTAAGATAATGTGGAGGTTTCAACGGCTTATGTGCCAACAAACCTCACCTAGAGCATACTCTTTGATTCCTTGTGGCACTCTCTACTTTATTTGCCCCTTTTTATTACCCCTTTTTTTGTTTCTCTTTCCTTTCCTTTTCTTTTTGAGGGGGGCACTACTCACTAGAGAGTTAAACATTTGCCACACTACTTTTAACGACCAATGCTCTTTTTTTTTTAAGAACTCACTCCAACACTACTCTTCCTTTCACTTCCACTCCTAGCAAGAACCGCACACAATCCTCCTATGTAGAATCTCAATGGAGCTCAAAACGAGAGCTCTAGAACACAAGGACGACACATTTATAGAGACGAAGAAAGGATGGGGGGTCGTTCTATTAACACCATTAAGCTCACAAGCAATAGCTCCTAACATGAGAACGACCCCCAAAGTCACAAGGCTCAAAGGGGTTGACTAGTGGATAATTCCTTTCGGGGCAATCAACATTTGGGCATGGACTAATCCTATCCCTCCATCATAATCACTAGGGACAAATGTGATGTTATTCGCCATGGTAAGAAGGATCTACGCACACAAGAATAAAACGATCGACTCAAAGCTCACAAGACTACCTAGTCACCCAACCATCTATTCCAATTCACAAAGCACCATGCATGCTTTTGTAATCAACAAGTAATCAAGTCAAAACATCCATTCATTTCTGCACACATGAGAACTAAACCTTTGCATTATCCTAATGCACCTCTCAATCATCATCATAGGACGTACTCGATCACATGCAACAATTCAAGGTCAATGCCAATAACCATAAGATTCTCCTACAAACTGGCCACTTTGATCATGCAAACATTGCTTGGAGCCCTCAAATTATTCAAATTTGGGCATAAATCAAGGCTCCAAGCATCAATCACACTCACACAAGCATAAAAGTAGACTATCCCCCACACTTAAGCTCGACAATGCCCTCAATGGCGTAAGATAAGGGTAGAACGACGTTACGACTTTGCTTGGTGAGTGAAAGTTGGATTTTTTCCGGGGCAGGAGATTTGGAGCTTCAAGGAAAATACAAAACACACACACACACAACACAATACGACTCGCTCAAGGCGAGGTTATTACACAACACAATACGATAGTAGTAGTAGTAGTTTGTGGTCACACACACATAATGAAAGAAAAATAAAATAAAAGAGTTCAGAGTTCCAAGTGAAGTAGTGGGGTAAAAGGAATCGGCTCTGTCACATATCTCCTTCGTCTGCTACCTCACTGGTTCGAAGGCCCTGTCTCATCATCGGGAATGAGACCCTGGCGTCTAGCCATCTACTCGAGGAGGTCCGTATGCCGGTCGAGGCAGGAAGTCACTCCCCCAAACTGGGTCTCAAGGCGATCTATCCTCTAGACGAGGGGATCACCCGCTGACCTGGGTGCTGAAGTTGTTGCTGGGGGTGGTATGGGGCGGTGGAGCGATGGACGCCGACAGCGGCCGGGTGCTCGAGCAGGTGGCTGCTCTGGGGGTGGAACCCCTGCATCTGGCTCCACTAGAGCCGGGTCAACTGCTGGATGCATGGCTCCTGAAGGTCGGAGCCCGTCGAGGTACTCAATGCCCCTCTCCTGAAGTACCAGCTAATGGTGTACAGTGTGGCCACTAGGAAGGGCTCGGTCCTCCCGATGATGGAGCATCGCTCCACATCCACTCCGAAGTAGCGGGCAATCCTCGTGATGATGCCCCCCATATGCATGGTATCCACCCTGTTCCGCCCCAGACACCGGGCGAAAGAGGTGGCCATCAGGGATCCCAGATGGATCGACTCCGCAGGATGTCTCATGGAGAAGAGAACCATAATCCCGCTGTTGGTCATCAGATGTTGATTCAGGCCTAATTGTACATGTTTTACCCCCGTTTTAATTAGGCGTTTGTGGAAATTTTGCTCCTAAAAGGGTGGTTTTACGCTAGTTTTCTCGTGTTTTAGCATGTTTCATGATTTAACAGGTGAAACCAGTCCCAGAGTCGAAATTTGGACGAAAAGCATCGAAAACCGAGAGAAGAGGTGAAAAATAACGAGTTCACGGTTTTCCCTGGATGTTCACGGTCTTGATGATCGTGAAGAAGAGCTGTTGCTCGTGAATGTCGAGGCGTCCAGAGCATTTCAAGAGGTTACTGACGCAAGATGAGTTCACGGTCACTAAGACCGTGAACAGGAGTAATTGACCGTGAACACTTGCAGATGAAGCGGTGCATTTCGACCCCCAATTGGAGTTCACGGACGCGTTTGAGAGTTCACGACCGTGAACTGAGCTCGTTCTCTGTTTAAAAGATGAGCCGAAAGGAAGAGAGAGGGGAGAGCCACTTGAGTGAGAAAGCCTTCTTCATATTTTAGAGCGAGAAAGACGAACCAAAGAAAAAGGAGGCTAGGGTTTTGCTCCAAGAGGGGATTTTTGAGAAGATTCTCCCCAAGAGAAGTCAGCACAAGTTCCAAGAAGATTGGAAGCCTCCTTCATGATGCTTTCTACCTCTTCCCCTTGTGTTTCTCCCATTTCTAGCATGGAGTAGATTTCTTTTCACTTGGGTGTTGTGAAACCCTAGCTAGCTACCATGTAGTTTTCTGTTATGGGAATTGAATGATTGTTTATGGTTTAATTCAATGATTGAGGTATCATTCATGTTGATTGTGCATATTTGTGCTTAGCAATCTAATGAGCCACTTAACCTAGATTAGGGAGGAAAATACCCCTTCTAAGGGAGACTCAATTGAATTGGTATTCCTAGGACATTTCAAGTCTCCTATCGAGGTTAATTTAGGGCAAACCTCAATGTGGGACTAAGCAATTTGGTTAAGCACAATTGAGCTTACCAGTCCTTGGGTTGAGTGAGGGAGTAAGCCAACTATTGATTGCCTAAACCTAGAGGGCCGAGTTACAGCCTTTAATGTATTCCTCGGTTTAGCAATCATGAGTGCGGCCTACAGCCTTATTTGCATCCCCTAGCGGTTCGCGACGACCTTGCCCATAACTATCGGTTCGATTCACATACCATGGTAGAAGTTAGGGGGAAGCGACACCGGAGTGATCCTTCTCACAAAAGAGCTTTCAAAACCATTCCCTTTTGTCTTCCTTTACTTTAATTAGCAAACTTTTCAACCAAAATCGACTTGTTAGATAATGATTCAAATGACTGAAGTAGGGGTAGACGGACCGGCCCAGGTCGATATTTAAACATACTTATCTTGTATTGCACCCGACTAAGGTTTATACTTGGACCTTAAGCGGGAAATTATTGTGGTATTTGGGACGAGTCAAGTTGTTGGCGCCGTTGTCGGGGACAATCGTCTGTTATCTTGAAAAAGTTGTTTGACGTTAATCTAGCTTTTCATTTCCAGCTTTGAAAGTGTGTGTGCTTTGCTTGTGCTAGACTTGGTGTTGTTTTCCGATTGTGTATAGGTGGTGCATGACTCGGAGTAACCCGGAACCTTTGATACCACTTGAAAAGGACATAACCAAACTCTCTAGCTCTAGCAAGGGAGAGAGAGCTAGCGGAGGCAAGGAGAAGAGTTGAAGGAAGGGGACAACAATTGGGTCTCGATGTTAGTGGAGAAGAAGTTGAAGAAGTGGAAGTTGAACCCGTTGTTGGAGTAGAAATGGCGGGGAACCAAAGACAATATGTTGCCGCCCAAGCACATCAGCTAAACGATGCGGCGGAGGAAGAGGAAGCCCCAAGGACAATGGGGTACTATATGGCCCCACGATCGGCGGACATTCAGTCGCCGATCTGTTGAACCTCGACTTCGAGAGGTTCAACATCAAGTACTGAACGGGCTGGATCAATAAGTCGACTCGAAGTGTTGTCCCGTCACGCCTTATGCCCGAGTGGGGAATTAAAAAGGATAAGTAGCCACCCAAAGCTTCCTGATGCTAACGAGCGTGGTGAGAATCCCTTCTATGGTCAAGAGGAAATATAAGAAGTGAGGTAAACTATACGGGACAAGCAACGGACATCGGACAAGCAACGGACATCATCGAAGTACATTTAGCTAGAGTAAATTCTTGAGGCAAGGAAGTACAAAGATGGTGTAGAATGAGCAATGTCAAGCAAATTTCGGGGACGAAATTTTTATAAGGGTGGAGGAAATGTTACACCCCAACTTTTGGGTTCAGGTTCGACCATAACTGAAAAAGGTACGAAGGGTCACAATTTTGGGTTAGGAATAATAATAACTATTATAATTATTTAAAAGAGGAAAAAGGGAATTTTAACCCTAATTAACCCCACCCAACTTTCGATACCATTAGGAGGAGCCAATTTTTTTTTCATCCTCCTACCACCGTAGTGGAAATCCGTTCCAAATCCAAGGCCTAGCGGTGCGAGTAAGGCTCCGATTTCTAAGAGATCAACTGCACTCGTATCGTCCTCAACATGGCGGTTCCCAGTGGCGCCTCGATCTATGTTCTGAACTATGGGAATTTTGACTGGTTTCGGTTTGTTAAGAGTGGGAGAGAGTCGTCGATCGTCGCTGAAATCGTAGAGGTGGAGGAGAATTCCACTGATTACATGCAAATAATGCGAAGGCCGCCTGTGATAACGACCCACAAATCTCCTGCTTATGCCATTTACCAGCTGATACATAATATTCGGGATGTTGCTTATAGACCTGTCAGAGTATTCTGTCAAGACGCAAAAATGCGAGCCAGATGCTAGCGCGGATGCGTTGAAGGAATGTGTAAGGTTCCTTGTTTTTGGAATTGGCCAGAGGTCAGTTGGATTTAGTATTCAAATTGAAGTGAAGGTGGGATCCAAGGTCTCGGAAGTGATCTTGGGCCCTGAAAACAGAACAGCTACATTGGAGGAAAAGTTTCTAAGGGTTATCAATCATTTGGACAAGCTGTTTGTCACCAACGATGACGCCACCATTGACGACAGCGTATCCTCCGACGTTGTAAGCTCCATCGACGGCACCAGCGTAGCTGAATCCGACCATTCTTCAAGTGGTGGGTATCATCTCGTAGAGGGAAATCCTAGGAGCATCACCGCGTTGACAAAATCGGATTCTGACGTCAGACGAGGGAGAAACGAGCATCGAAAGTTTGGATGAAAATCTGTCAAGTTCAGGTACCACTACGGACAATTCGAAAAGTTTGTGGATCATTTCGGAAATTTTACAGCAGGGTCGTGGTCAACTATCTGGACTGGAAAAAATTGCAATTTCGGTACCTGGAACTTTTAAGCTGACAGAATGTTTATTTTGGTCATAACTCGATCAATTGACGTCCAAACGAGGAACCGTCTGCGCCTACGGAATCGTAGAAGCGAGGGGAATGTTATAGAAGGGAGTTTTGAAATTTTCAGAGTCGAAGCAGAGTCATCTTTTCGAGGTGAGTGTAAAGGGGGTAAATTCTACGCCTTGCGTATTTTCAAGTATTTGGTTTAGGAGTTTTAAGTATTGTGTGAAGTAGTTGCTGTTGTGGTTTGTGCTTATGATTGATGATATGTGCTTTACTTGAGCTATGACTTGAAGTAAATATTTAAGAGCTTATCGTTACTTTGAAGCTTTACTTTTATGAGTTGAAGTTTAGGAGACAAGTTCTCCTTTTTAAGAAGAAACTCACCTTAAAGTAGGTGAAGTCGTTTTATGTGTTTTTAGTCACTAGCGCCAGTCCGTTGCCTTTTGAGACATTTTGAGATAGAGCAGCAGTTATTCTCTGGAGACTTTTAAGATGAGCAGCAGTTATGCTCTTGAGAATCGTGGTGAAGAGCCACCACGATAAGTTTAAGATGTTAGGGGGATGAATCGTTACGACTTCCCTAACTAAGTTTAAGTTTAAGTTTAAGGAAAGCCTGAATGGCTTCTCATACGTATGAGTTGGCAACCAGACTAGCTAGTGAGGGATCCCAGTGTCAATCAAGTATTTAAGTCAAGCTTTGAGATTTAAGAATGAGTAACAGTAACTCCCATACAGTTTTAAGAGTTAAGATTTTCAATAGTGGAAGTACAAAACAACTTCCACACAGTTAGGTAAAGTTCTCAAGTTTTAATAAGAGGTTAAACGTAAGGGCGTAGACTGACCCCATCTCACTCACCAGTTTGAAGAGCTAGAGGAGCTAGAGGAGCAATTAGTGAGAAGCGAGTTCGAGGCCAGTCGGCTAGAGGAGAGCAGTGTAAGCGTCACGGAGAATGCCTAGTTAAGATTTTCAGCAGCAGCAACGACATAGACTACCTAGTTATTTACATTTTATGATTATGAGTATAGACTAGAGATCGGGTTGAGATTTTGAAGTTTGAGTTTAATTTGCCCACGTGTTAGGGCTTTGCTCGGAGCTTTAAGTGTGTGTTTTCAGTAAATTTTATTTAGTAAAATTTTTCCCGCTGCAATTTAAGATTTGAGTATTTTATTTATCAGGGCATTTCAGTAAAAGTAGTACCCGACCGGGTTAGGGTGTTACACGATTCTACACCCTCCCGTGGCGGCAAACAATTTCGAGATCAAGCCGGCTCTCGTGACTATGATACAGAACAATGCTTTGTTCCACGGCCTTGAGAGGGAGTCACCAAGATAGCACATGCAGAGATTCTTGCATCTCGCGGGGAGCTTGAAAATCAATGGTGTGCCGTCCGAATCTTTGCAACTAAGGTTTTCCCCTACTCACTTGTGGGAAAAGCGCTTCGGTGGCTAGACAATCGCCCACCTCGGTCAATCAACTCATGGGATGATCTTCTCAACAAATTCATTACTCGCTACTGCCCGCATTCGAAACGGCGGAATGGAGAAATAAGATTACCCATTTCGAGCAAGAAGAGGGCGAGACCTTGAGGGACGCTTGGGAGAGGTACTCTGATTACTTTCTTCAGTGCCCTCACTATGGGTTTGAAGAACAGTTTTGGATTGAAACCTTCTACGGAGGTCTAATCCAAGAAGACAAAATTCTCATTGACTCCTTGTGTCAAGGGAAATTGATGAATATGGCCTCTCCCCAAGTAACCGAGCTACTTGAAGACATGACCCTTAGGGGGTATGATTGGGGATTGACTAGAAGCGGGAGGAGAAGCAATGATATGGGAGTGAGAAGCGTGGGAGCGAGCGCTCGGCTTCGGGTGAAGTTGGATAAGTTGATAGAGGTAATGCTTGAAGATAAGAGGCAAGGAAAAAGGCTAGTTATGTCATGCGACTGGTGTTCGAGCACTAGCCATGAGATGGCGGAGTGCAGGCAATGAAGGAGGCAAACACTTCGGAGGAACAAGTCAACTTCTAGCAAATGCTAGGGCTAACAACCCATATAGCAATACTCGGATGGAGGAACCACCCAAATTTTGCTTGGTCATCACCGACTAATCCGAGGCCCCTGGGTTTTCAAGGCCCCACGGGAAATTACCAACCTCGGCCGACCTTCATCCAACAAAGGCCTCAAGTTCAATGCTCAAGCTTCCAACAACCGTACCAAACACAAGGTGGCCTAGGTTTTCAACAACAAAAACAACTTGACAAGCTATCTAAGCTTGAAGACCTAGTGAACACCTTTGTGAGTACGAGCGCTCAAAAGTTCGAGAAGATAGAGCAATTTATGGATGTGGCGACTACCAAGTTTACCTCGGTTGAGGCGAGTCTCCGAAGCCACCAAGAAAGCCTCCAAAGTTTGGAGGTGCAAATCGGCAACCTTGCCGGCATCCTCACCGAGAGACCGAAGGGAGCCTTACCTTCCCAAACCGTGGCGAACCCCAAGGATCACGCCGGGGTGAATGCAATTCAAGTGGGGAGTGTGAAGGTGAATTTGGAAGTCGCCACTAAAGAAGTGATTGAGAAGGAAGATGCCAACCCAAAGGACGCAGAGAAAAAGCCCTCGCGGAGAAAGTGGAAGGCGGCAAAGAAGGCATCGCCGCTGAGTGGGTACACGCCACCTCTTCCTTACCCCACGAGGATGTACAGGGAGAGGTTGGAGAACGAGTGTGGAGGTTTCATGGAAATGCTCCGCAACCTCCACCTCAATATCCCTTTCCTTGAAGCCATGGCTCAAATGCCAAGATATGCCAAGTACCTCAAAGGATTCCTCACCAAGAGAGCAAAGCTTGAAGGCCCCGCAACGTGACTCTTGGTGAGGAGTGTTCGGCTTACCTCCTCAACCGCTTTCCCAAAAAGCGGTCCGGCCAAGGTAGCTTTACTATCCCTCTTGATATTGGTAACCATCACATAGACAATGCCTTGGCGGACCTAGGAGCTAGTCTTAATGTGATGCCCTACAAGCTTTTCAAATAGTTAGAAGTAGGTGAACTTAAGACCACTAAGCTTAGCATCACTTTAGCCGACTGTTCGGTCATTAGCCCAGGAGGAATTGTGGAGGACATGTTGGTGCGAGTGGGCAAGTTTTGCTATCCGACCGATTTTGTGATTCTTGATATAAGTGAGGACTCGGATATGCCGCTCATACTCGATCGCCCATTCCTCGCCACAGAAAAGAGATTAATAGACGTTAATGAGGGGGACCTTAATTCTGAGGGATGGTGAAGAGTGAATCAAGCTTGAAATTGACTCTTAAAGCTAGAAGTGAGGAAGTGAAGGAGTTGGTTTCGAATGTTGTGAATGTGAGTGGAGGAGAGCCTCTCAAGGCAAACCCCACTATTACTTGTGTTTCTTGTGGTGATGTTGAGCAGGAAGTCAAGGAGGGTACTATGCCCAAGGAAAAGAAAAGAATGCTTGGAGGCAAAAGATGAAGGAAAGTTTGGCTGGAAGGAAGGAGAAGGCCAAAGCGAGGTTGGCCAACCAAGAGGGCCAACTCATGGAGCTTAAGATGGAAGGCTACAAGCCTCGCCCCGAGAGTGTGGTGGATCCACTCTCGGTGGCATCACGTTCCAAGACATGATCGATCCCCAACCGTCAAGCTAATGATGATAAATTAGCGTTTGTTGGGAGGCAACCCATTAGATTATTGATAGACCATTAATTGCACATATTTATACCACCATTCTTGAGCCATTTGAGAGTCGATTCTTGTGTTTTAAGCAGATTTAACGTTAGGTTGTGCGTTTATGTCATATTTCAGGAGTTGGCATGGACATGGAGGCGTGGAAACGAGTTTCGGGCCAAAAAGGAGGAAGTTGGAGTGAAGGGCGATGGAGGAAGAAAATACCTGGTCGGCCCTTGAAATACCCGAACGGGTAAAGCTGTTTTGGACGCCAATTATCCAGAAGGGGACCCGGCTGTGGAGCTAAAATATCCGATCGGGTATTCTGGACCTCGATCGAGTATTAGCCTTATCCAGTGCGCAGTTTTACAATACCCGACCGGTCACCTGAAATACCCGGGCGGTCACCTGAAATACCCGACCGGGTATTATGGCCGGGTTTTGCGATCTGCTCCGTTTTGAGGGAAAGAAGGCCACTTTTGAGAGGGATCCGATTTTGAGAGCTAGAGAGCAGAAAACCTAGAGAGAGAAAGTGACGAACATAACTTCCAAGTGCCCTAATCGATCTTCAACACCATTGGAGCTTGATGGAAGCTTGGAGGAGTGTCGATTGATTACCAGAAGCAGATCCTCATCCTTCACAGTATGAATTTCCGCATCTAACGCATATTTTCCTTCACTCTCTATGGAGTAAACTCCTTTTCTCACCTGTGTATGAAGAACCCTAGATTTGTATGTTAGGTCTGGTTGTATGAACCCAAGTACGAATTCTTTGATACTGATTATATTCAATTGAGGCATGGTTTTCTGAATTACATGAATCCTGATCAAATTCCTGTTATTCCTGCTTTGAACTAGAATGAGAATATCTGCCTAGGTTGATAGAGCACCCTTGATTGAAGGTAGTAAATTGACGACTTTAGTCGAGGAGTCGATTCACTATTATGTACTGGATTTATTCCAGTAGAGGAGGTTTGGTACGTTAAGGCCTCAGTCTGTTTACTCCGGTGGAGGTTAGTCGCCCGCTGGAGACTCAGATTGAGAGGGTCTGGAGACCTTTATTCGAGACTGCAGACTGTCTAAGAACCTCCAGCAGTATAATTATCATTGAATCTGAACTTGGCAAATTATAACTTGGCTTAACTACAGTCTAGGGGGAACCATATCTGAGTGACCTCTCTCGAACTTGAAACACAACATTTACTTCTTTTGTTTTCTAATTTAGTTGGACCTGCACTATAGTTTCAATGCTAAATAATAAGAATCTCACGGAGTAATCATCACACCTAGGACCCGGGTTGACATTTAGAAATAAACCCGCTATACTACGCATTAGCAGGTGGTTATACTTGGGCACTTTCTAGGTGATGGCACAAGCTAGTCAATTATATTTTCATCTAACAGCTGGAAACATCATTAGCATGGTGCTACCTAACATGTTAGCACCTAATCTCATTCTATTGAAGTCCGTTTTTGGTAAAATGGGGCTATCATATGATATCTTTGAAGCCAAGTCATTAATACTTCTGAGAAAAAAATTCTTTTAACTCCTTATAAATACTTAGCATTAACAATTAGGGTTTGAGGAAGTCAGGATTGCCTCACTCTCTTCAATCGATGTAGCCCTTCACTGGAATTTCCATCGAACTGCAGCGAACCTGCCGTTTTGAAGATCCCTCAACACTCAAGCTCTGTCCTTATTTGAGATTAGGACGTCAGGGGATCCTTCAATGCTCCAGCTCATAGTTGCAATCGTCACCGTCACCATAGAACCATGAAAGGGTTTCAGGAAGTAATGATTGAGAGTACAGAAAGCAACGACCTTGTTTATCACCAACCTGGTAGAGAGAACAGAGCCTGAGAGAGATGAATGGAGTCGGGATCAAGGTTCTGAGTAGGGAGAGGTGCTACGACAATGATGATGACGACATTAAAAGAAGATTATCCTCTGCATTTTATTTGGAATGGAGGAATGAGGATCGGTGGAGATTTGGAAAAGGGAGGGGTGTTTGTGTGTCCCTGGTGTGGAGAGAGAAGGAAACAATAAGCAAAACCGCATTTTTTTATTATTCATTTATTTTTTAAATTAAACATAAATATTAGATATTAGGGAAAAATAAATTGAGTTTGAGTTAAACTTTTATTCTTCATTTCTTTTTATGATGATGTGGTGCGTTGATCGTTAGTCAATGGCGTCGACCGTCCAACTTGACAATCAACCCAAGGGTTGGGCCAAATTAATCTAAATGGTGCCAAGTTTGGGACATGATGTGTCTTTTTTAAAATTTGGTCCAAGTTAGTTTATTAGTGTAAAGTTTTGGCTATTTTCAGGTATTAACCCAATAATTATCACATAAATGGGATATTAGAGAGAACATTGACACGCTATTACACAACACCAAACTACGACCAAGTATAATCACAGTCTGGAAATGCAGAATAGTGGCAAATTCAATTTATCAACCCGGGGTCTAGATCTACTGCCTACTCCGTGATTATCTATTATCTAGCAGGACTAAGTTTAGTGAGAGTGATTGTAAACAAAAGCAGTAAGAAAATAGGAAATTGTCGAAGTTCTTAAGCAAAGGAATAGTCACTCGGGAATGAGTCCCCCTAGATCCTTAGTTAGGTCCAAGTTGTAATTTCCTTTGGTTTATTTATTGTTGATTAAACTACGGAAGATCCGACAGTAGTTTGGAATCTCTTAAGCAGACCAAGCCCTCTTAGACAGACTAACCGGCAGACGACTAGTCTTCACTGAGAAAGAAATCTAAGGCAATTAACACAGAACTCCATACTGGAATTGAATTCCAGTACAAAGCAGTGAATTGACTAACTCTCGTATAATCAATCCACTCCTATCAATTGAAGAAACTCTAACAACCTAATCAGATTCTATCTATCTCAGGTTGCAGCAGGAATCAAGAAAATTTGATCAGGCTTCAATTGACTCAATAAATACACTTCAATCGATTATAATCAAGCAGTATCTTAAACCAAAAGTCATTACAATCAAGATCCCTAACACATGGAACTAAGATTCTTCATACCCAAGTGAGAGAGAGTTCTACTCCATAGAGAGAGAGAGAGAAATGGAATTCAAAGCATTCATACTCATAACGATGGGAAGAATCTTCTCTGGGATGAAAATCTTCACTCCAAGGACGAACTCCAAGCTTGATTGATGAAACCTAGCTCCAGAATCAATCCTAGGGTTTGTTCTTCACACTTTCTCTCTCTAGGACTATGTTTTTACTCCAAAAAGTCGATTCTCCCTCTCCAAAACCCAAAATTGGGTTTTTATGCATCTGCCCGCGATTGCACGGCCAGACCGCATGACCGTGCAACCTCATAGTCTGCCCGTGCACCCCCAAAATGCGATGTTTCATTTAATTCCACCAGGGGGTGCACGGCCATTGCACGGGCCGTGAAATGCGAGAGCCTAGCCGTGCAATCCTCTCGCAGAAATCAGCACGACCACAATTTCATCGCGTACGGCCATGCGAAAAACAGGGTCAGGTCGTGCAGTTTCTCGGTAAATCCTGCACAACCACAAGGCCACCATGCACGGTCGTGCGCTTTCTCGTCCTGGCCGTGCAACTTGTCTGATCTCCCTTCGCTCGTCCCGATTTCGCCCAATCGACTCCAAACAGTATAAGAATTGCAGACAAAAACATGTGCAAATATCGAGTCATCAAACATATATAGAGAAAGATATATATTGGCTTTTGTGTGTCTTCCACTTCTCCAAGTTTGTCATTATATAGGCATTAGTGCTTGGGATATAACTGCCTTCTCTTCATTGATTGGTGATGGCTAGGAAAATGGTTATTGAGAAACCATTATGGGCATCCACAGTTGGATTTCATAATACCCCCACTTGGATGTCCATTGATTCACAACATGCATTGTCAAAACCTTCCTAGGAAAAACTCTATGAGATAAAGCCTAGTGAAAAGAAAGAGTACATGATTCTTGTATTACGATTTTGTATACTGCTTTGTTATGAACCTTGGTATGAAAAAACCAGAGGAAAAAGATCTTGATTCAAGAAAAAAAGTGCAGTGCGTAAAGTCTCCTGTTCACATAGAGATTTATCAACAATTTGGAGTCTTCAAACTCCAATAAATTTTCACATGATTTGTGGAATGTAGTGCAATAGACAAATTTGTTGAATAACTTTTTAACAAACTTTATTTGTTTCAAAATTCCCGTGAGGTTTATGTGTGACAAAAAATTCACTCAAAAATTTTGTTATATGTATCTTTTGAGAAGATACAATGATACATGTAATATATCACGTTTGTATATGATCGTCAAGATTAATCTTTGAGAAATATATCAAATATATCATTATTTTCGTAGTGAACTTAATCATCAACAAATTCTTGTCATTCTAAAATTTCAATCATGTCTATGCTCTTTATTTCAGCATATATAATATATCACGTTTGTATATGATCGTCAAGATTAATTTAGAGAAATATATCATTATTGTCGTAGTGAACTTAATCATTAAATATATTTTTGTCATCAATATATTTTCGTATGTGTAACCATTCTTGGGGGGGCCAAGAATT